TAGTAGTAGTAGTAGTAGTAGTAGTAGTACTAGTAGTAGTAGTAGTAGTAGTAGTAGTAGTAGTAGTAGTAGTAGTCGTAGTAGTAGCAGTAGTAGTCGTATTGTTCCCCATATCCTAAGGATTGGGGTTCTTGTTATTACTCTGACGCCTCCCACTGCTCCTCCTTCCTCCTTCCTCCCGCTCGGGCCTCCCTCCTCCCAATGATAATCACCAGATAAGACAAGACAAGATAATATACTACAAGATAAGATAAGATAACACAAGATATGATAAGGTAAGATAAGATATATGACAAGGTAATATAATATATAAGATAAGACAGCCTGTGGAGTAATAAGATAAGACAAGATATGATGCGATAAGATGAGTTGATATAAGATAAGCTAAGACAAGATAAGAGATTTCAAGACAAGATGAGATAGAGGGTAATAAAGGTAAGATAAGATAGGACTCGATCAGATAAGATGAGACTCGCTCTCACTCAGACTCACTCACAGTCACATTCACTCACACTCACACTCTCTCATGATCACAAAACGCTGCCAGGGGCATCATTTGGGAGCCCCAAGGGGGAGCCACCCTGGCTGATCTCACGAGCCCGTTCGCGCCGATTTTGGTGGGACGTCTCAGCTAGAATTGCCGTTTGGCGCCCCCAACATGTATCTCTTGAGAGCCTCATGGTCACAAAACGCTGCCAGGGGCATCATTTGGGAGCCCCAAGGGGGAGCCACCCTGGCTGATCTCACGAGCCCGTTCGCGCCGATTTTGGTGGGACGTCTCAGCTAAAATTGCCGTTTGGCCTCCCCAACATGTCTCTCTTGAGAGCCTCATGGTCACAAAACGCTGCCAGGGCATCATTTGGGAGCCCCAAGGGGGAGCCACCCTGGCTGATCTCACGAGCCCGTTCGCGCCGATTTTGGTGGGACGCCTCAGCTAGAATTGCCGTTTGGCCTCCCCAACATGTATCTCTTGAGAGCCTCATGGTCACAAAACGCTGCCAGGGGCATCATTTGGGAGCCCCAAGGGGGAGCCACCCTGGCTGATCTCACGAGCCCGTTCGCGCCGATTTTGGTGGGACGCCTCAGCTAAATTGCCGTTTGGCGTCCCCAACATGTATCTCTTGAGAGCCTCATGGTCACAAAACGCTGCCAGGGGCATCATTTGGGAGCCCCAGGGGGGGCCCACCAGGGGCTTCATCGTCACCAAACGCTGCCAGGGCAGCATTTTGGCTTCCCAAAGAGGAGTCGACCCGGGCCTCCTAGTCGCCAGACACTGCCAGGGGCACCATTGGGATTCAGACTCGCACCCAGACTCACTCATACACAAGCTCACTCACACTCAGATTCATTTCTTCAGAGTCAGGCACACACAGACGTACCCATACTCAGACTCACCCACACTCAGGCTCACCTAACCCAGACTCCGTCAGAAGCCAGTAGCGAAGAGAGCAGAGAGGAGAGAGAGAGAGAGAGAGAGAGAGAGAGAGAGAGAGAGAGAGAGAGGAGAGAGAGAGAGAGAGAGAGAGAGAGAGAGAGAGAGAGAGAGAGAGAGAGAGAGAGAGAGAGAGCGAGAGACGAGAGAGAGAGAGAGAGAGAGAGCAGAGAGAGAGAGAGAGAGAGAGAGAGCGGGAGAGAGCGAGGGAGAGCGAGAGAGAGCGAGAGAGAGCGAGTGAGAGCGAGAGAGAGAGAGAGAGAGAGAGAGAGAGAGAGCGAGAGAGAGCGACAGAGAGCGAGAGAGAGCAAGAGAGAGCGAGAGAGCGAAAGAGAGAGAGAGAGAGAGAGAGAAGAGAAGAGAGAGAGAGAGAGAGAGAGAGAGAGAGAGCGAGGGAGAGAGAGAGAGAGAGAGAGAGAGAGAGAGAGAGAGAGAGAGAGAGAGAGAGAGAGAGAGAGAGAGAGAGAGAGAGAGAGAGAGAGAGAGAGAGAGAGAAGAGAAGAGAAGAGAAGAGAAGAGAAGAGAAGAGAAGAGAAGAGAAGAGAAGAGAAGAGAAGAGAGAGAGCGAGAGAGAGAGAGAGGGAGAGTGAGAGAGAGAGGAGAGAGCAGAGAGAGAATAGAGAGAGAGAGAGAGAGAGAGAGAGAGAGAGAGAGAGGCAGAGATAGAGGCAGAGAGAGAGAGGCACAGAGAGAGAGGCAGAGAGAGAGAGAGGCAGAGAGAGAGAGGCAGAGAGAGAGGCAGACAGAGAGAGAGAGGCAGGGAAAGAGAGGCAGAGACAGAGAGAGGGCAGAGAGAGAGAGAGAGACAGAGAGAGCAGAGAGAGAGAGAGAGAGGCAGCTCAGTCACACTTAAATCCAGATTCGTCCTCACCGAGTCCCACCACCAAGGGAGCGCCAGCAAGGAGATGCACATATGGGGATCCCCACGCAGTGAATATTCTTATTATTATTAGTAGTAGTAGTAGTAGTAGTAGTAGTAGTAGTAGTAGTAGTAGTAGTAGTAGTCAGTAGTAGTAGTAGTAGTAGTAGTAGTAGTAGTAGTAGTAGTAGTAGTAGTAGTAGTAGTAGTAGTAGTAGTTAGTAGTAGTAGTAGTAGTAGTAGTAGTAGTAGTAGTAGTAGTAGTAGTAGTAGTAGTAGTAGTAGTAGTAGTAGTAGTAGTAGTAGTAGTAGTAGTAGTAGTAGTAGTAGTAGTAGTAGTAGTAGTAGTAGTAGTAGTAGTAGTAGTAGTAGTAGTAGTAGTAGTAGTAGTAGTAGTAGTAGTAGTAGTAGTAGTAGTAGTAGTAGTAGTAGTAGTATAGTAGTCGTAGTAGTAGTAGTAGTAGTAGTAGTAGTTGTAGTAGTTGTTAGTAGTAGTAGTAGTAGTAGTAGTAGTAGTAGTAGTAGTAGTAGTAGTAGTAGTAGTAGTAGTAGTAGTTAGTAGTTAGTAGTAGTAGTAGTAGTAGTAGTAGTAGTAGTAGTAGTAGTAGTAGTAGTAGTAGTAGTAGTAGTAGTAGTAGTAGTAGTAGTAGTAGTAGTAGTAGTAGTAGTAGTACATAGTAGTAGTAGTAGTAGTAGTAGTAGTAGTAGTAGTAGTAGTAGTAGTAGTAGTAGTAGTAGTAGTAGTAGTATGGGGATGACGGCGATGTCCATTTGTATGTTGATGACGGTGATATCGATGATGCAAAACATGAGAGGAGGGCAATGCTGAGTATGATGACGACCATGCTGTGGATACTCAGGATGATGATGAGGATGGAGCACGGGGAGGAGGATGAGTAGGAGGAGGAGGAGGAGGAGGAGGAAGATCAGGAGGAGGAAGATAAGGAGGGGAGGAGGAGACGTAGGAACACGAAAACGTGCAGGAAAACGAGATTGGGCAGGAGGGGTGTGGGGACAGCATGAGGAGCAGAGGACGATTAGACAGAGCTTTATGGCGAGCTTGAGGAGGAGAAGGAGGCGAAAGAGGAGGAACATGACGAGGTGGAGGAGGAGGCGGAGGCAGATCAGAGTAAATTCGAGATGCATCGACGCTGCACTACACCCTCTCGTCCCAAGCCCCCTTCTCACAAGTCCTTTCAAGCTTTAGTTTCAGGGCAAGAGGCCCCCCCCCTGAACAAAACAACAGCCTGTGGATCTGCCGTTCAGGCGAGATTCATCGGTCGAAACATATTCCAGTGTAAGTGCCTTGCATCCTTCAAGCGGGTAATACGGAGCACAGGAAACATGTAGTCTAACAAGGTGTCCAGCGAGGTCTCCGTTTGAGAAACGGGCCGCCCCCCCCCATTTGTGTAATTGTTTTACAAATTTGCATCTTTGGTCGTAAATCCGAGGAAGTCTCGAGCGAGACAACCATTTCTGAAAGACGCCGCCTTTCATCCGCGCAGCTGCTACATGTTCAAGTTCTGGGTTTTTATACTCAAGGAAATGGCAAGCTGGAACCCTAATGTTGACAAGGAGCCGTCCTACACCATTGTTCCGATGCAAACATGTCAGACGAATGTGCGCGGGGCTACGACGAGAGCCCCATCTGAAAAAGGAACCGCCCTCCATCTTTGCAACTGTTGCCAGCTTTAAGCTGATGTGCTCGGCGCTACGGCGCGAGTCCTCCCATTGTTGAAACCACCCGCCCTCCATGCTCGTAATTGTCGCAAGCTTCCAATACGAATGTGCGCGGCGCTACGGCGAGAGCTCCAGTTCGAAGAGCACCCGCCCCCCATCCTCGTAGCTGCTGGGAAGTTCAAGCTTCAGGACCAGAAGTTGTGAGGAGGTCTGGGGCGAAACGCCCGGCCCGCCCTGCCAGCACGTCTCGCGGTCAGACGAAGAGGAGTGACATGTGACACAGAAGGGGAAGGGATGGACCCAGACACCCGACGTCTTGCTGTTTTCAGTGCGGGCTCCCCGGAAGCCCCGACTCTTCCCCCGGCGCTTCCTTTTCCCACCTCGAGCGCCGGCCTGACGGTCCGAGGGCCCAGAGAGGGCCCCCCCGGCAGGCCGCAACCGACCGACAGATCTCCGCCGTGATTTTTTCCACCTCCTCCTCCTCCTCCTCCTCCTCCTCCTCCTCGTCCTCCTCCTCCTCCGTAGCCATTTTGGCTCAAGGTTTTGGTTTCCCAGGGGAAACAAGCGGATACCGCTAGTCCGCGGCCAGTTCCAGTTTCTTTCATCGCACCACTGCGTGAGCCGGCCCAGGCGACGCAGCAGCTTCCCCCGAGCGAGACGGCGTCAGAATGCCGAAGCGCCAGACGTACACGGTGTGCGGCGGGTGCGCAGGATGGGTGTTCGACTGGAAGTTGCAGCGCTCGGGAGGGTGGTGCAACAAGTGCGAAGCCTACATCAGCGGCTGGGGCGGGAAGTCTGTCCCTGGAGGAGGTGGCCAGCGCGGGGTCGGCAAACCACCGTGGGCCAAGCAGATTGCCATCACCTCCCCCGCTGACGAAGTGCAGCAAATCATCGACAAATTCCAGACGGGTAAGGGCGCCTACGCCACAGCCAAGGTCGACATCGGGCCGCTGCAGGCGCTCCAGGCCCGGCTCACAGCCAAGGCGCCGAAGCCCGCGGAGATCCCTAAGGCGCAGGCTCTTGGGCAGGCCATCAACAACATGGATCAGAAGAAGGCGGCCCTGGCAAAGGCGGCTAGCCAACTCTTGGAGGCGCAGCGCTGGCTGGGGGACGCTCAGGATAAGCACGAGAAGGCGCTCGAGGATGCAGCCGACGCGGAGGAGCAACACGAGGCCACCCTGCGGGCGTTCACTTTTATCACCGACCACGAGACGGTCGCAAAAACCTGGAAGTTCCGCTTTGAGCACCCGAGAGCCACTGGACCAAACGAGGACCTGTGGACCCGTGCGAGAGCCGCCTGGCAGGCCCACCCAGATCGAGCGGTCAATGTAGTGTGGACGGCCTCACATTTCGACGAGTCGCCTGACTTGCTAGACTCCCCGCAGCAGCAGTTCCTGGCGGCAGGCAATTTAGCAGCTGATGTCTGGGCGGGAGTCGGGGCGGAGTTGGCGTGGGAGTTCGGGCTGGTGGGGAGGGAGCCTGACACTAACAGGATTGACTCGATTGCGCACCTGGTCCGCAAGCGAGCTAGACGGGCGCTCATGCTGGCCGCCTCGTCAGAGACGGGAGAGCGAGCTGGCAGGGCCCCAGTATTCAAGAGGCTTTCCAAGCAGGAGAAAGCGATAAGAGATTCGCCCCACCAGCTTGAGCGAGTAGGTAGCAAGTGGAGGTGCTCTCAGTGCGAGCTAATCGTCCCTGGATGCAGGTTTTTGCGCTTTTCTGTTTCGTCGTGTGCTGGGCCCCCTGGGAAAAGCGTCCCTGGGGCTCCCGAGTTCACGCCGTTGAACGGAGTGGACCTGGAAATCCACCCGTCTCACACGATCACGTTCGTCGATCGCTGGTTCTTGCAGATTTGCTCCCTCTGCGGGATGTACGCCACAGTGGACTCGAGGTCCCTGCGGAAGAAGTGCGCGGGTCTCACGCCGAATGGCACAGAGAACATGCGTATAATTGAGCAAGGCATGTTTCCTCGGCGGGAGGGCCCCCCAAGAGCCATCAAGATGGCTATTGCTCGGAGGGATGGATGTCGTGTCGTGTCGGCCCTTGAGGCCAGGGAGGAGGTGCACCGCGAGCAAGAGGGGGCCCCCGCCGAGCCCCCATGTGTGACCCGTGCCCGCGACGACGGGCAAGAGCAGGAGAGGCTGCGCGTGGCCAAGGAGCTTCGGACGCAGGCGATCATTCAGAGGCTGCTGGCAGCGGCCCGCGGGCCGCAGGTTGGGGACCAACGGGTCACGCAGGGGGATTCAGACACTTCTGACTCACTGCACCAGACAGGATGAAGGAAGGGGTGTGGACTGTGCCCGATAGCAAAGAGGCCAAAGAGGTCCTCCTCCTCCTCCTCCTCCTCCTCCTCCTCCTCCTCCTCCTCCTCCTCCTCCTTGGGGAGGGGCAGGCCGCGCCGCGCGGCGCGGGCGCCCGTGCGCGCCGCCGGGCGGTGCCGCCCCGCGCCCCCGCGGCGCCGCGCTCGGCCCGGCCCGCCCTCGGCGGCTCGCGGCGGCCCCCTTCGGCAGGCCCCCCCGGAAGGCCCGCGGGGGCGCCCTCGGGGAGGAGGAGGAGGAGGAGGAGGAGGAGGAGGGGGAGGAGGAGGAGGAGGAGGAGGAGGAGGAGGAGGAGGAGGAGGAGGAGGAGGAGGAGGAGGGTGCCGTCCGGGGGCGCCTTCGGGGGCCTTCGGAGGCCCTCGGAGGCCCTCCGATGCCCTCGGCGATCCCCGAGGGCCCTCTCGGCCAACGGGGGGGGCGGAGGGCGGGGGCAAGGGCGTGTTCGCGCCCTCCGTCTCGACGTCGCGAGTTCGCGGTCGGTGCGCGCCGGGGCTGCAGCGGGGCCCCACAGAGAGCCCCCGAGACGGCCCAAGAGGTCCCCGAGGCGGCCACCAGGACGGCCCAAGAGGGACCTGCGGTGCCAGACGGTACCCATCCCATAAGGCGCCCCACAGCTTACCAAATGCACTGCCTGGCCGCGAATGCCATCCATGCACTAGTAACTATCCCTCCCCTCCCCTCCCTCCCTTCCTTCCTTCCTTCCGCCTCTCTCCTCCATCCCTCTCCTCCTCGCCTCCCTTCCTTCCTTTTTCCCTCCTTCCCTGGCGATCGGTTGTGCGGCGCAAGGGCAACTTGCAGGGAATTCGACGGGAGGAGGAGGAGGAGGAGAGGAGGAGGAGGAGGAGGAGGAGGAGGAGGAAGAGGAGAAGGAGGAGGAGAAGGAGGAGGAGGATGAGGAGGAGGATGAGGAGAAGGATGAGGAAGAGGACCAGTGCAAACCCAAGGCTCATCAACGATGTTGCAATCAACCTTCCTCCAAGCTCCCTCTTCATAGGCTCCTGGACGGATTCATTTTCAGTGGGGAGAGCCTCGTTGGAAGGCAGCCGTCTGAAAATCTTCAACCGTGCCCAAACACCACTCCTGGGACTCCAACGCCGCGAATCAACGTTACAGTTGCGGCCGGACGATTCCAAATCGTGTAAGAACACCGTTTCTGGGACTTCAACACCGCGAATCACCATGCGAACCCTTGAAACAGCTGCAAGCTGTTAAGACGAATGTGCGCGGCGCTTAGGCGATATGACCATCTTGGAGAGAAGCCGCCCTCCATCCGTGAAGCTCTGGCAAGCTTTCAAGACGAATGTGCGCAGCGCTAAGGCAGAGCCACATTTTGAACACGGCCCGCCCTTTACCCGTGAAGCTGTTGCAGGTTTTTCAAGCTTCAGTCACAAGTGGAGAGGAAGTCTCCGGCGAAACGCCCGGACCGCCCTACCGACTCGTCCCGGGGCGCGACAGAGGAGTTATGTATAAGGAAAAGGGATGGAGGAGGAGGAGGAGGAGGAGGAGGAGGAGGAGGAGGAGGAGGAGGAGGAGTAGCACGTGAAAACCACACATATGGCATACACCGAATCAAACAATCTTGTCACTCTATTCTATTCTATCCTCTGGCGTGTGTACCTGCTGCTCGGCGGGGCACTCTGCGTCAAGCAGATCAGACCTCTGGGAGTGTGCCACCCGGTTTGGGGTGGGAGGCCACGGGACAAACTTGGCATTACCTCACGATCTGTCTTGGTGGGAGGGGCGCACTCCTTCCCGAGGCCACGGGGTGCCTCGGCACAGTGCCTCCCACAAACCTGGTAAAACAGCACCCCACGGAGAGCAGCAGGATGGTGGGGCGCGTGATCAGGCGCACTCTCCTCCATCCCCACCTCCCCAGGCGGCGGGCCGCGGACGCCAGGCGCCACGCGGACGGTCCCCGCCTGCAACGGCAGGAGGTGGACGGTCGGGAAGCCGCTGTACGCGCTGCTCCACGGGCGCTCGGGGCTTGCACGGAGGGAGCCAGAACTCGTAAAGCGTTTTTTGTTTAAATATTTAGGAAAAAGAAAGCAATACAACACATATTTTTAAGCGATAGCAGAGAGAGCACACAAGGATGGAGGGGAGTATGACCACGCGATGTCCGAACATGGCCAGCCGACAACACTTTTCTCTAGTGCAGACACCTTGCGAATCCGCTCATGGGGGACCTTCTCAGGTCTTTCAGATGCTGGACTTGAATCAAGCATTCGCGCTGGACTGACAAGAGGCGATGCAAAACTAGGCTGGTTCTATCATCGGCCAAAAGAGTCCTCCGAATCAAATCTTCATGGATGCCAACATGTCCAGAGGCTACCCCAGCAAACAAAAATCAACATACTGTTTTAATCAAATCAAACACCATTTAGAACGATATTCTGACATTGGGCATGGGTGGGGTGTCCTGTGATCCATCGACCATCTATCGAGCCGCCTCTGCCGGCCATAACTTCATGGAACATCTTCCTGAGGTCGAGCATACTTTGTTTATTTTCGGCCAAGGGGGGCTTGCGGGAACCACGGACGACCGACATGGTGCCACAGTAAGCGCGGGCGTGTCCAGCGGAACGCCTCGCAAGCTCGATCAAGTCATTCAACTCTGCGCGGCCAGCACTCTGCACCTTACAGTCGGGGCTCTGAAGAAGGAACCCTTTTCGTTGGGGAGGGGCTCCGCGTTCCTTGTGTGTTTCGCAGCGTGCCTGAGGTTTTCCTTATGTTTTCGATCGAAAATCGAAGCTTAATCCGTAAGGGCTTCGCCCCCTGCCGCCGGCCCCCTCTCTCGGAGAATGGGCCATGGAAGAGCTAAGTCATGAGGCTTTGGCGCTGTCGTGCAGCAGTATCGGAACTTCATGCGAGGCCGATTCGCAATCGGCAAAACCAACTGATCACAAGAGGGGTTACCACACAGGGCGATTGGTAAGACGTGTATGGTTTACGAGCTTGGTTACCACACCTTGGGATTAAAGGGCCGAGGGAGTACTCGCAGTTTGGGTTACCACGCCTTGCGATGGATGTGCGTGAGGGGTGGCACCGAATTTCAGAAATGTGGCAAATCCCCTGTGTTTTTGGACCCTGACCCTGCGGGTCTGCGTGAGGGGTGACACCGAATTTCAGAAATGTCGCAAATCCCTGTGTTTTTGGACCCTGACCCCGCGGATCTGCGTGAGGGGTGGCACCGAATTTCAGAAATGTGGCAAATCCAATGTGTTTTTGGACCCTGACCCTGCGGATCTGCGTGAGGGGTGGCACCGAATTTCAGAAATGTGGCAAATCCCCTGTGTTTTTGGACCCTGACCCCGCGGATCTGCGTGAGGGGTGGCACCGAATTTCAGAAATGTAGCAAATCCCTTGTGTTTTTGAACCCTGACCCCGCGGATCTGCGTGAGGGGTGGCACCGAATTTCAGAAATGTGGCAAATCCCTTGTGTTTTTGGACCCTGACCCCGCGGATCTGCGTGAGGGGTGGCACCGAATTTCAGAAATGTGGCAAATCCCATGTGTTTTTGGACCCTGACCCCGCGGATCTGCGTGAGGGGTGGCACCGAATTTCAGAAATGTGGCAAATCCTTTGTGTTTTTGGACCCTGACCCCGCGGATCTGCGTGAGGGGTGTCGATTTCGAGCCCCCCCTCAGCAATTCAGACAACGCGCACAGGGGACGCTAAAAAGCCGGTTTGGGCCTCCCCCCCCCTCGCGCGGTCAATCAACTAGTTACGGTAACCAGCAATAAGTCAACTAGTTACAGCAACCAGCAAGAAGCAGAACTGTAACACTGGAAACTACAACCTACGACTGGTACAGGAAACTGCGAATCACAGGCCTACAGCCTGGTGGCCCCACAAGGGGGCCGGCGGATTTATGGAAAAAAGGGGCCTCGTTCCTTATCCGTAAGGGCTTCGCCCCCTGCCGCCGGCCCCCTCTCTCGGAGAATGGGCCATGGAAGAGCTAAGTCATGAGGCCTTGGCGCTGTCGTGCAGCAGTATCGAAACTTCATGCGAAGCCGATTCGCAATCAGCAAAACCAACTGATCACAAGAGGGGTTACCACACCTGGCGATTGGTAAGACGTCTATGGTTTACGGGCTTGGTGACCACACCTTGCGATTAAAGGGCCGAGGGAGTTCTCGCAGTTTGGGTTACCACGCCTTGCGATGGATGTGCGTGAAGGGTGGCACCGAATTTCAGAAATGTGGCAAATCCCCTGTGTTTTTGGACCCTGACCCCGCGGATCTGCGTGAGGGGTGGCACCGAATTTCAGAAATGTGGCAAATCCCCTGTGTTTTTGGACCCTGACCCCGCGGATCTGCGTGAGGGGTGGCACCGAATTTCAGAAATGTGGCAAATCCCTGTGTTTTTGGACCCTGACCCCGCGGATCTGCGTGAGGGGTGGCACCGAATTTCAGAAATGTGGCAAATCCCTTGTGTTTTTGGACCCTGACCCCGCGGATCTGCGTGAGGGGTGGCACCGAATTTCAGAAATGTGGCAAATCCCATGTGTTTTTGGACCCTGACCCCGCGGATCTGCGTGAGGGGTGGCACCGAATTTCAGAAATGTGGCAAATCCCATGTTTTTGACCCTGACCCCGCGGATCTGCGTGAGGGGTGGCACCGAATTTCAGAAATGTGGCAAATCCCCTGTGTTTTTGGACCCTGACCCCGCGGATCTGCGTGAGGGGTGGCACCGAATTTCAGAAATGTGGCAAATCCCATGTGTTTTTGGACCCTGACCCCGCGGATCTGCGTGAGGGGTGGCACCGAATTTCAGAAATGTGGCAAATCCCTTGTGTTTTTGGACCCTGACCCCGCGGATCTGCGTGAGGGGTGGCACCGAATTTCAGAAATGTGGCAAATCCCCTGTGTTTTTGGACCCTGACCCCGCGGATCTGCGTGAGAGGTGGTACCGAATTTCAGAAATGTGGCAAATCCCTTGTGTTTTTGGACCCTGACCCCGCGGATCTGCGTGAGGGGTGGCACCGAATTTCAGAAAT